TACTCAGTGCCAGACACCATGCTAAGTACTGGGCATTATAACAGTGACCAAAACAAAGTTCCCACCCACTCTCAAGACACTTTCTGTCTAGGGGCAGCAGAGGAACTAGGAGGAACATGAGGAATAGATGTCAAGATGTAGTTTGAGTACTTATCACATGGGGTGATAATTGAAACTGTGCAAATGTATAAGGTACCAGGGGAGAGAAAATAAATTCATTTTGAGAGAAAAAGATGCCTGAGGAGATAGAACCTAGGAAACATTCTGTGAAGAACCGACTAATGTTCCACTGCTTTATACAAAGTATGGTCTGCATCAAGTCAATGCAATAAACCCAACCCCAGAAATATCCTGTTGTGGCTAAGAAGTTATGACACACCAAAGAGATAATGTCCATTTAGACACCCGGTTCTCTGTGATTACATCACTCCTGTATATGAAGCAAAATTATACCAAAGCCATATGTATATGGTTTTGTATAATAGCTGATCTACTTGGTTTCCTCAGAAATGTCTTCAATAAGTACCAGTCAATATGTTAAAAAAAAAAAAAATTGTATGGGTGGCTGCCTGATCTGCCACCCCCTCAAATCTTTTCCCAGACCATCTGGCTCTTTTTTTTTTTTCCTTTTCCCCAAGTAATCGGAGCAGATCCAGAAGCAGATTCTGAGTGCCTCAAGCTTTTCCTTATTTACCCTTCAGTAATTACATGTTACAAGTTGTCTTCTCTATTAGAGTCTGAGGCTGAGCAATTAGCCTCCCATTGTCTTCTCAGGAAATGATAGCCGTGTGACTTGTGGGAAACGCAACTGTTGACCACTCTGGTTAAAATCATTTGGAAAATGTTCAGCATTTCCTCTGGTTGATCATTTAGACTGGCTGATTTTAGAAAGCTTTCTGAAATGCTGGAGGTCAGTAATGGTTGTCAAGACTGGCAATGCTACAGGGTCAGTTCCCTGAACAAAACAAGATTCTGACCACTCTGGTCTCTCAATCCACTGATTTGTTTGGAATCTTGAGCACATGACTGAGCCCAGTGCCTCTGCATTCTATTTGTAATGCTTTATTGGTGACTGAGTTAGTTAGGATGCAGGTCATTGAAAACCCAACTTAAGGAGGCCTAAACAATAATAAATTTATTAGAAGTTCAGAGGTGTGGCAGACTTCCTAGTTGATCTAATGCAGAAACCCTTGCTCTGATTCTCTGTGGGGTTTGTTTGTTTGCTTACTTGCTTGCTTGTCTATCTCTGCCCTCCTGTCTGGGTTAGCTTTATCTTTAGGCTTGGAGCAAGATGGCTACCTAAGATCTGGGCATCACATCCCACACAACAACATTCAGAAGGAGAGAATTTCTCCCAGAAGCATGAGGAGAAGCTCCCAGCAAAACATTCTTCACAGTTCATTGCCCTGAAATGGGTCACGTACCTATTCTTGAACCAGTCACTGGAAAGGGGAATGGGTTTCATTTAGAGCAGTGCTTCTCAAACTATAGTGTGCACGCTGACCACCGGGCAATCTTGTGAAATGCAGGTTCTAAATGGGCCTGGGTTGAGCCTCAGAGCCCACATTTCTAAGAAACTTCCAGGTGATGCTGATGCTGCTGGTCAGCACACTGCAAGGCCTTAGACCATTCAGGTCCCGATTCCCCAGCTGGGGGTGCTGTCACCTACCCATGAGGCACTGTGGTTGAAAAAACCTGGGGGTGGGGGTTTATGTTAGGAAGAAGGAAGAGGAAATGGTCTCGTGCAGATGAGAATTGTATTGGACAGACTGTTCTTAGCATGTAATGAGGATAATCACCTTTAAACCAAGAGTCACACCACAGCCTATGATATGTATTAGAAGCAAAAAAAAAAAAAAAAAATGCGTTCGTGCTAGGAGTTGTTGTGTGGGAGCATCCATAAACATCTTGTGCTTATTTATGACAATGTATACATTGTAATTCTTGAAACAGAATAGCACGGTCACCTTTGTTATCATTCTGCTATTTTTATTAGTAACTAATACCATATATCTGATGTGCCCTTAAGCATAAAAAGAGTGTGCCAAGTCCAGCCTTTGTTCTCTGAGTGGATATCTTATCAGTCTTAGTTATTGGAGAGGGAGAGAGTACATCCCTACTTGTCCTAAGAGTCACTTGACATGATGTTGAGCTTGAAAAATGCTGCCAATGATGAATTTCTGCCAAAGCAAATGGTCACAATGCCCTTATGAGTGGTTTTCAGTGGAGAACATCATTATGCTCTCTTCATTTTAAAAAGAATTATTCTGTTATTCTATTTTATTTATTTTTTTGTTCGTCTTGGCAAAGACACACAGGAGCCCTGAGCCACAGCCGTTTAGGAAAAAGGCTGATAAAACCAAAGTACCAGTGTCCATCCTGCAGTTGAGCCATCACAGACTCAGTGGGGCTCAGAATGAAGCGTGCAGCCAGGTGCCAGGGTAGACCTTCCTGGGATGGTCACTTTGGTAGGGTTGCCATTTTCAACCTCATATGCAGAGATAGCATCACTCAGGAAGGTACTTGGAGATGGAATTTCATTGCTTCCTCTACTTGTTTGCTTCAAAACTATGGGCTTGTGTCTCTGGAATGGCAGAGCTTGGTCAGTCTCTGGTGGAGGCCAGAGCAACTCGCCAGCATGGGCCACCAAGGCACCATGTTCCAGGAAATCACTGGCTGTCTTTATCTATGCAAAGGCCCTGAGAGCTTAAGAGATTCTTAGCTACTCTGGACTAGCTGGGGAAAGCTGCTAGACTTTAAGCATCACGAAGGCAAGAATTGTGTCTGCATTGCACAGAGCTCTGTGTATGGATGGAATGACCGAACAGCTGGTCTGTTCCCAGGAGATATGTCAGTCAACATCGACTGAGAATTCACTCTCTAAAGGGAAGTGAAGGAGCATTTTGTTGCCTGACTTAAGTAATTTATAATCTAAATATAGAATGTTTAGGTGCTTCATCTACATATTTAGGACCTCATATTTAGGCTGCCAAAGACAGATGAGATAATAACAATATTAGCTGAGCTTGTGTAGGGCAAGCAAGATTGCACAATTCTTCACTGATTGATTCAAACAGTCCTGACTCAATGCCTACCTACTACGGCTGCTATTGGGCAAGACATTATTAACCATGGGAGGAATAAAAAGATGGGGAAAAATGGTCTTTCCTTAAGAGACTTACATTTCACAAGTGGGATGTGACATGTACATTTATTTAAAATATCTCTATAAAATATGATTTTAAAAAAGAAAGGTAAAATAATACCAAATTGGGAAAAACAAGGTAGAAAAGCCTCAAGAAGGAGAAGAGAGTTAACTTAGGCCCTCTACCTGGGCTCTTGACCTGAGGTCCATGGATCGTGTTCAGGGGGACCTATGAACTTGGATAAGGAGCCCTGGTGGTGCAATGGTTAAGTGCTGGACTGCTAACCTAAAGGTTGAACCCAACCAGCCACTCCACAGGAGAAAGATGTGGCAGTCTGCGTCCATAAAGATTACAGCCTTGGAAACCCTTTGGCAGTTCTACTGTATTCTACATGGTCGCTATGAGTCGGAATCAACTCGATAGCAATGGGTTAAGAACTTGGATGGGAAAAATATTACCTCTTTGTTTTCACTCACTCTTAACTGAAATTTAACATTTCCTTCCATGATGAAAGTAGCACTATCTATATTGTCACCAATAGCAATTATGAATACATTCATGTCATATTATAGATATCCTGAAATATCATTTATGCCCAACACTAATTCAAATTACAGTAGTTATTAGACTTTTCCTGGATCTTATTTACATATTGAAAGAAGCACATTTATTACTATATCACAATTTTGTTATATTTTAATAACTATATATCAGTATAATTTCTTCAGTCCTCTGCATTTTGTGTTTTAATTCTGAGCATTTGAAAACATTCTGAGATTATAATGGCACAAAAAGGTGAAGGGTCCTTGCCTTAGAAAATTGTTAAGCCTCCTAAGGGCAGTTATGGGAGAGAAGGGCTCAGAGAAAGGACTGGCATGCCCAGCACCTCAGAGGCAGGGCGGGTTCTGGTGCCAGGGCTCTACAGCATCTGAGGAGATGATGTGGAAATAAAGCTGAGGGAAGGGTGTGTCCTGGGCTAATGAAATTTCACAGATAAAATTTATAGGTGATGGGAAGCTGTGGAAGGTGTCTCCATTGAGGAAGGACAGGCTCTAAGTTGTGTTTAGAAAGGATGCTTTGCAGTGCTATGAGAGCTGGATTGAAAGGGAAGAAACTAGAGTCTGGGAGACTCCTTTCTGCAAGAAATGATGCAGACAAGACTCAGTGTAACAGTAAGAATGGAGAGAAGGTGATGAGCTCCAGCATGACTGTGAAACTAGAATGGTGGGTTTGGGCCATGAGAGGTGAGGAAAGTGATTTAAAAGTTTCAAGCCTGGGTAACAAGGAGAGTGATGGTAATAGCCCACGTTTACTGAGTGCTTATTATGTGCCAGATGCAGTTTTAAGCCTTTATGGGTATTATATTATTTAATCCTGATAACAAAAGCATGAGATTGGTACTGTAATCCCTATTGTGCAGATAATAAAATGAAGCCTAGAAAAGAAAGGTTAGGGAAATTGCCCAGGGTCCCCATAGGGGACAGGGAGTGAGTATTGAAAGAAATAGAAAGGAGGAATTGGTTTGGAAAAGGAATGTTATGAGCGCAGTTAAAGATATTTCTGCAACGTTCTCTTGTGTTCAATTATTTAAAAGGGCTAAAAATTCAAATAAGCACAGTTCTGGTTTATTTCATTTCCAGATTTTTATTTTTATTGTAAGTGAGCACCGAGGTCGCTTATAAGTTGGTTTCATCTTCCTGTGCAGAACAAAGAGAAATCAGTTAGAGTCTGGTGTATTGATGGGTGCCTGAAACAGAGGGAAGAGTTTGTCATTTCCAGAAGAGAGACAAAATATACATTAAATCATTTCCACTTAATGATGCATTTTTTCTTTTGTTGTGTGTTGTTTTTCAGGACCAGTCCTACAGCTGTTTTAGAAGACATGTGGTGTATATAAAGTTTGTGATAGTTGGGGGAAATTTTGGTAAGTGTTGCTGCATTTATTTCTGATACCTTTTGTTGTAAAATGCTGCTCACAAAGGGAAACCATCACCTTGTTCTGTGTATCTTTTAAATCTGCACTAAACTGAGGCAAAATAGAATTTTATAATTAAATGTGATATTGAATTGGTGTTTTCTAACTTTATGACTTTTTTTTCTGGTTATTGCTGGTTATTAAATAATATGAGGTTTTCTAAGATATAATAAGTCTAGATTTAGGAAAGCGTCTGGATGCAGGGTAAGAATATTCTTGACAGTATAATTTATGTTAAGCCATCCATTTATTACGAGTAATAAGCTTGGTGATCAAAAGGATAAAATAGAATAAAAGTTTCCAAAACTGAAATTCTTAGGATCTGTATGTTGAAACAAGAGAAGTGAGCAGTTAGCTGCTTGGAGAATAGAAAATTAAAGGGAATTAAGACTCCTGCATGCCTGGTGCCAGCCCACAGTGAGTGTGACAGGGGCTTGTGAGAATAAGAACAACTCAGAAGATCTTGGTAGCAGTTGTAGAGAGGACAGTCTTTGGGGTCAGGAGACCTGGATTAAAATCCAAGTTCTGTACTTAACTGGTTGTTCCTTAACCTCTCTGAGCCTCACTTTCCTCATCTATAAAACAAGTCTTGTAATGATGAGCCTACTTCACAGAGCTGTTGGAACATAGTAAGTGCTGGATAATGCAGTTATTCTTATTAACAGAACAGCCTTGTTGGGAGGCAGGACATCTGTCCTTGAGGTCAAGCCACCAAAAAGTGTGTGTGTCTTCTAGCAGGAGGGCTTCCAGGAGTGAGTTGGAGATATCACAGGGGACATCACAACTGGTCACCATGTCCATGCTCCAACATTCACTCCATAACTAGCTGTGGAAATCCCCAAGACATTTGCCTTATTCTCCTACCCTGGTGATTCATTCTTAGACAAACTTGGCTAATTTAACTTCCCTTCCTGCCACCTTTGCCACCAAGTGAGGATACATTGTTGAGTTTTGTCCCATTTCGAAGTTAACAGTAGTTTATAAAGCATTCAGCACGTTCTCTGGTTGATCAGTTAGACTGGATGGTGGGTGGGGTAGATAGTACCCTCAGTTTGGGCCTCAATTACAATACTTAGGCTTTCACTTCTAAATCTTTCTTTTGATTTCTTTTTCCTGTGCTTATTATATAGCCTTCGCAGACATCCAATTATTGGGCTGAAATTTTTGAGCTTTGACAAAAAAATGTGGCTGAAAGGCCTATAGCTGTGATTGGGAGATCCAAATATGTCAGTGAAGATGGGCTGATATTTAAGGTTGTGTATCTTTAGGTAACTCGGCTCTTAGTTTCATGGAATCAAAAAGATGAACATGGTCTTAGAAGTTGGCCCAATCTCCCACTAGCCAAAAAAAGTCTCTTCTACAGAGTCTCTGATAGAGGGAAATTCAAATTCTTTCAGATATGATAAGTTTGTTACTGCACAGGGCAGCTTGCTCCAATTAAAAAAAAAAAATTAAGGCCCACAGGGAAATTTTGATGAGTGAAAAACTATTATGTATCTTGATTTTGGTGGTATTTATGCAACTGTATGCTTTTGGGAAAACTTAGAACTGTACATTAGGACCGGTGAATTTCTCTGTTGTTTAAATCTTAATTTTAAAAATGGAGAAAAAGAACAATTCAACAATCAAATGGACAATTAACTCATTGAAAAGGAATAAAGCAGGAAGGAAGGCAAGATGGAGAAAGGGAGAGAGGGAGGGAAAGGAAAGAAAGGACTAAAAGGAAAGAAAAGCGATCTGTTCCTTATGTTGAGCTTCAGTATGTACTCTGTGGAACAGGGACTTGGTCTTGTTCCTTCCAATAGCCTCAGTGTCTGGACCATGCTTGGCACATAGAAAGCATGTGATAAATATTTATTGAATGATCTGTTGCTTTTGATCACTGTTGTCAAGTCTATTCCAGCTCATAGCAACCCTATAGGACAGAGTAAAACTTCCCCAGAGGGTTTCCAAGGCTGTAATCTTTACAGAAGTAGACTGCCACTTCATTCTCCCAGGGAACGGCTGGTGGGTTCGAACCGCTGACTTTTCAGTTAGCATCTGAGTGCTTTAACCACTACACCACCAGGGCTCCTTCTGTTGCTGTTAGTCACTTTCTAATTGAGGAAAAGTTCCACTCACTTTTACACACACCAGCCTACCAAATATTTAAGACATTTTCCTTCTTCAATCATTTTCTCTTCTCTGGGCTAAACGTACTGTCTCCCATTTTTGGATTCTTTGTCTTCTGATGTTATTTTCACATCCCTCCCCACCCAGGGACTCTCCTTGGGGGGCGGGGACTACCGTGGACCCATTAATGATATCAACAGACACAGGACGCTAATCCTCTTCCTTTGCAATCAGTACTAGGTGCCTGGTAATGGATCATGAAGGATTTCTTAAGAGCGGTCTTCTAAGAATGGAGCTCCTAAAAGTAAAGAGGGTAGCAGTCCAAGAGATCAGGTGGCAGCAAATTCATCCTCTTAAATGCCCTCACTGAAGTCAAGCCAAGCCCTAACACCCTTCGTCTGAGATAGCAATAATGCTGTTTATAAATCCTTGGGAGCAGCTGTGTGTTATAGATCCTGATTATTCATTATGAGCACACAGGAAGTTTGAAATTCTTAAAACTTGTGAGTGCCTTAAAAAACATAGGGTTTTTCTGTTTGTTTTTGACCATACCAGGGAAGATGCATAAATATATGGAGAACGGTGGTTCTCAACCAGAGTCAGTTTTGCCCCCTAGTTGTCATAACTGGAGTGGGGGTGTGACTGGCATCTAGTGGGTAGAGGCCAAGGATGGTGCTAAACATCCTACAATGCACAGGCCAGCATCCCTACCCCAACCCCGAGCAGAGAATGATCCAGTCCAAAATGTCAATAGTGCTGAGGTTGAGAAACCCTTGCATAGAGGTAACAACAACAACAAAAATGTTAATGTTTAAATTACTCATTATTTTAAAGGTTTAAATTTTTAAATATTTTACTGTTTAATTATATGTAAATATATAACTAAAAAACATAAAGAAGTTTGTTCAGAGGATCATAGGGTATAAGGGGCTCCTAAGAGGCCATCTCTTCCATTATCCTTGACTTCAAGTAAAAAATGACCTAAATGAATTCAGACAGACAGATGGGTGTCTGAAAGCTTATACTTGAAGGGCTGTCAAGGAAAGATAAAAGCGAGACTCACACAACATGATCCCAGCATTCACACAAAAGAGGTTGTCTCATATTTTAAATTTCAACCTCAGCTTCTTCAGATGTGTTTGTCTTTAGATGACCTCTGAGATGAAATAGTATTTCAGTCTGGGCTAGTCCTTCCTTCTGTATCAAGAGTAGTGATTCTGGTGTGATGAAAATGTGCTTAGGGAGGAGAGAGATCTCATTACAGATGATTGAGATTGAGTATTTTGGTACACAGTGCTGTTTATTTGCATCAGTTTTCTAGTGACACCACAATCTGGTTTAGATATGAGTTGTTGAGAGCTTCTGTAGCCCAATATGGCTACATTCGCTGAAGGAGGGTGATTAAAGCAACATATGTCAAGTTGTGATATAGGACAATCCACTTGAAAAGATTTTACTTAATTATAGGGTTTACTTTGGGAGAGGAGCTATGCTTTTTGTGAGCTATATTTTGGGATACACTAACCCAGCTTCTAGGCCAGTAATATCTTCCCAGAAAGGGTGTGGTGCGTGTTTTTGGACATAAATATTTTCTTACTGAAAGCTTTGGTATAATATTCTTTTGACTTTACTACCCTTCATTTTTCTTTTTCTGATAATCTTTCCTCTGGCAAAATGCTTTGAAAATGCGTTCTGGAAAGCTGGAGACAAGAAGGATAAAAGATCTCATTTCAGATGGCCAAGCCCAAAGACTTAGGGACTTTTTATTATCAGTCTGCTATGTTTAAGATGAATGGATTTTGGAGGAATATACCAGCACTGAATAGTAAGCAGAGTCGAGTGAGACTGTAAAAAATACTGTGTTGGCACAGTAGCCATCCAAGATACAATTGGTCTGTATCTGCCAGGAGCAGCAGAAAAAGGAGAACCATGAATCAGAGAAGGAAATAGACAACAGGTGTGTCTCCTTGAACTACTCTCTTACCTCCTTTGCCATGAGACCAGAAGAACTGAATGGTGCCTGGCTACCATTACTGAACATTTTGATCAAGAACACAATAGAAGGAGCCTGATCAAAAGGAAAAAAAATATGGATCAGAAATTCAAATTCTTATGAAAACCAGACTAACTGGACCCACTGAGGCTGCTGGGGAAACACCCAAACCTATTACCCTGAGATAATAGGTAAACCTTGAACTGAAACTATCCCTTGAAGTCATCTTTAGACTCAGCAACAGTTTAGCTCAATTAGCAAAGAATGTTTGTCTTGAACTTTGAGCCCTTTTACAGGATTATCTATGAGATCAAATAGACAACAGTAACTTTAAAGCATAGGTGACGAGGTTCGTGGGCAGTGAGTCTAAGCTAACAGTGGTGAAACAATAGGAGTAGAGATGGTGAGAATGTTGGCACAGTAGGAAGATTGTAACCAATGTTATTGAACTGTGGAAATTGTTGAATGGGTGTAGGTTTTGATATGTATATTTTCAACAAAAATAAAATCAAAGTTAAAAAAAAAAACACTGTATTGGCACTAAGTATTTTTATGTAAGTATCTGTGGGGAAAACTTTACATTTATAGCTACTCATATCCCAGCATCCCCTCTCCAACCCATGGATAACTCACATGGGCCATTTTGAAGGCCCTTTTGTGATGGCTCATGACCTACATAGGTATCTACATTTTTGCTTTGGTTTTTTAAGACATGCCTTTTCCCTGCTCTGCCTCCTTGGTCCCCACACCTTTTGTGGCCTCCCTCACTTCCATGTTAATAATCCCTTGAGGCCTTGGCCTTAAAGGAGAGATCAGAACTCCCTGCCAAGTCAGTGTTTCTTAG